TGGAAATGAGATGGCAATCAAGCACAAATCTCCCACCGCTGCCCCCCACTCTTATTTTAAAAAGTCACACTTGTTCATGTGTTCTAGTTTAAAACATGATTCCTACTAAACTAGAAACAACCAAGACTAAACTTTATGGTTTCAAAAACGTTTATTAGTTGCGGAATATTAGTTAACAGGTGCATAATATGTGCGCAACAAATGTCACTTGTGTCACATAAAAATAAAACAACTATAAAATACACAAGTTTTTGACTGATGGATGAATTGTTGGTTAAATTTCTATTGATACCACATACTACTCAGCAATTCCAAGGCACAGATCATTATTCCCGTTTCATTAAATAAAATATCTAACCACAGAAATACTCAACTATTTTCCATAGTCCTGAAATACTTTTGCATGACATATGCAAGGAAATGTTGTTAGGTTATTCCCTTATAATGTCACAAATTTTATATAAGCTTGTTTCTGAAAACCCAGAAGGTTTCAAATTTCGAAATGACATTGTACTCTACAATCAATGAAAACATCAACACTTTAAATCATTGATCTTCAATAACTTGTTAAATCAATGAAACATGAGAGTGAAATAAAATCAAGTGAAATAAATTGCTTTGCTGAAAGATTTATGCTAACTTTTTTTAAAATCCCATGATATGAAGCATTTTCATACCTGAGATAAGTATAAAAATTATCTTTCAAAAATTGAGGTTAATATAAATTATTATACATTAAGAATATATCCTCATATATTAGGAATTCCTATTGTTTTAAATATAAATATTAAAAGTAAATTAAAAATTAAAATACAGTTAAATTTCAATGATATTAACACCTAATTGAAAGATTATGTTTAAGGATAAACAAAGCCAAAATATAACAATAGGCACAATATCAAATATAAACATCACAATTTTAAGATTTTAAAAAAATTCAGGTGTCAGCAAATCTCTGATCACACAAAATCAAAAGTATAATGCAGTGTAATGATACTACATCATAAAACCCACTGGACAAGATTGGATATTAAAATATTTTTTCTCTATTTCTTACAATACTATTTATATATTAAAGTTGTCTTAAAATATATACCAATACATTTTTAAGGTGATATGCATTTAAGATCAAAGAAAAAGTAGAGAATTCAACTCAAAAGCTGGTATGCACCTTATACTACCAATATTATAATACTTTTCCTTCAACAATATAACTAAAATAATCCATTTTAAATTTCATTATGTCTTTTGATTTTAAAAAAGTATCATGCATATAGAATCCCCATCCTGCAGTCTATACTGAACATTGATTTTTCACTCATGTCAAAATAAAAGTTGTATGGGGCATTTACTTCACTGAAAGAAAATTTCATTTACATTATGCTTTTTCATGATTTTAAACATCTAACGTATAAATGACTTGTGATTAAAGAAAAAACACTCAAATTGGACAGCGACAAAATCAAGATATAAAGAATCTAGATTCAACAATTTCAAATTTTATCTTAAAGACCATGAGACAATAATATATATTACATGTAGTTCAATTTTATAACCACAAATCCCGAGATGAAAACAATTTAGAAAACAGATTCCAGTATCATAGTAAAGGACTCTGATTTGATATAATGACTATTTTTCAGTGTCATTGTATAGAATAAAAATAGGTATAGTATTAAGTCTCCTAATATCTGGGGAACACACGAAATATTTATTTTATATACCCTTTTATTTTTCCCAACCAATAATATATTCAGGAAGTGATTCTGTTCAACTGTTTGATCATTCATTAAATATACTGAAAAGATAAAATCAATCAATTAATAAAAACTAAACACATCTTCTGATGACAAAAGAATTAAAAAAACTATCATCATTCTGAAAATACATATAGTAATATAGGCTCCAAAATGAAAAAACAATTTTTACTAAAAAGCAACATTATACAACCTACTTATAAAAGCATATTTAAATAAATCAAATTAGATTTCTCTAATCAAGTAAAAAAAGGATATATTCCTAAGTTACCAGTAATAAATTGGTACTCGGTAAGGTCAGATTTTTGAAAATAGATAAATGAATTATACAGCACAGCAAAAAGTAAAATATATCTACTTGTAGATCATTTTTTTCTGATTATAGTAATTGAATAATGTACTTTAAAATTCTTCCTTATACAATTTTCTCAAGCTATATTATTTATGACACAATGAAATATACAATGCAATATCTACTTGTACAAATTCTAAATTAATGCCAGCTAATATGAAAAGCAGTTTTCTTCATTTCAACCTAGGTTTAAAAATCATTACTCAGAAAGGTAAGGTTGTTTATGAATTTTAAAGCTATTAGTTAAGGGGAAAGAGAAAAGAAAAAGACAAAACAAATTGTAGGTTATACGGCAATAATTTTCTTAATAGATCTAGTACTTGAGTTGAAAATTATTAGTGCCCCAAAGTATAATTCTATTCTGTGTTATATATCCTGGAGAAAGTTTTTAAAAATACATTAGTATTTTAACTAAACCTTGGGAACACAATTACACTTGACTTAAAAACTAAGGTAATTTGAATAAGTCCATTAGGTTGTACAAATGAAACACTCGTTTTCCCAAATATACTTTCTTACAGAGAAACAGAAATATGCTTCATGAAATAAACATCAGGCACATTTATTCTGACAGAGAATATGACAGGCATATATATGCATGTGTGTCTTTGTGTATACATGTACATACACATACAAGAATACATAACATACTTATATGGAAAACACGAAAATAAGCTATCACATTATTCCATAATCCTAGAGGAAATTATTTATACTCAGAAATATGAATAAAATTTTGCTGATCTGAGAATGAGATGTGCAAGGTAAGTATTCCTTATGTATACCCGAGTAAGAAAAGTTGAAAGAAGCTCAGAGGCTATTATGTTGAAGATTAAGACCTCAGATAGCTTCACAGGCTACGGTCATGTTGTGAACAGAAAGAATATTAAAATTAAAGTCTAGCTAAAGAAGAAAGCCATCTGTTCATACAGGTGATAATCAAAATAAAATTATATTTTAATAAAAACTCTTCAGAATTCTTAAAACTTCTTATTAACTACAAGGCTGTATTTTATACTTCAAGTTGATTGCATTATGTATGATTGGTTTCCACCTGTTACAGGCAAAGTATAAGCCTTCTTGTATCCGACATTTTAACTCACATTTGATCAGGTTACGTCACGACACTCACAAAATTTTATTCAACGCATTCCAGCTTTCCATTTTTTCTCAAATGATATTTTTGCTCTACACAGATAATATGCCTCAGAATTATAAATAAAATAAGCAATTTCTATATTGTAAGTAAAAATGCAAAAGTGGACTAAAAACAAAAGATCTTATTCTCAGTGCACCCTTTCCAACCCACTGAAAATAAACTATGCTCAAATGAAAAGGCATTTAATTTACTATTTGGAATATCCTAGATAAACACCAATTTTCTGTAACACCCCTGCACATCTGATACCACCTCATGTATAATGCAAAACAGCATTTTCATTTTCTTCTATTGATAGTGAATTTAATTTACCATTGCAGCTCTTTTCCGAGAACTATCGTGTTATTAATTCTGCAATCAAGCTCTTTTGAGTATTTTAATTTATACTAAGGATTTTCACAATTCCACATTGATTTTTTTTCTATCATACTATACCTTTTAAATACATGAATGTGAATATATTAAGAAACTTTCCCAAAGCGTAAGGAAAGTTTGAGGGACTAGGAAAGCCATCTGCAAAACTACACTTAATAGAAAACAAACTTTGAGGGATATAGCTAACAAATTACATTTTAATTTTATAAATTTAACGTTTATCAACATGCTACCTTAATTTATATAACTAAATGGCAAATTTCACCATTCTAAAATCTTCTTTAGTATAATGGTCCATTTCTACCACCAAAGGATCAGCTATGAAAAAAAAGTCCTCCAAATGTTCTGCCTACATTCATGCCAGATGCCCTGCTGTATTAAAGAACTCTTAGTGAATTAGATCGCTGAACGCAAATCAGCTTTTCTTTTTTACCACGAAAAATGGAGAAGCAGTCTCAGTCCCCTCAGCATTGAAATCTAACGGCCCCAAAATGACAGAAATCTAGATCTAAGTAAAAGCAATTCAGCTACTAATGTTTATTTTGGAGACCTACTATTCCATTTTGGAGACTGCTCCACCAAACTGCAAAATACTTAGTAACAGAATGATACAGAAAAATATGCACATGCACAACTGTGTAACAATAAGTAAAAGAAAAAAAAACTGATAAGTACAAAGAACAAAAAGAAATAGCACCTAGGAAACTTGCCATACCCTCTTAGGTCACTGTACCACACTAACAGTTAACACTTTAATCAAATATGGCTCTCAAGTAATACAAATTTCATAGCATTAATTTACTTCTTACATAATAATATAGTAAAGTTCCTTATCCAATTACATTAAAACTGAAATATTTTAAAAATCTGAGAAGGCAGCACTTGTCCTCTTTACTTCATCCAAGGCCAACAAACAAAGCAATGAAGCAGAAAGAGGTACATAATGGATTCAGAAGTAAATGGTCCATTCTTTAAGAGGCCTCCCTCCCCCTTCTGAATTCACTCTAGACTAATTGTCATTACAATGATGTCTGAAAAACTTCAGAAGAACACTATTTCCTGATGCCAGCTGTTCGAGTTTCTATCTTTAAATTTTTGTGTATTTTCCCATTAGGGAAAATAATAAGTATGCAAAAATACCCCAAATACTCTGGCAATTAGTCTAAATCACATACACAACAATTATAGGAAAAAGACATAATTCACAATGGAAACATGTTGAAATTTTTCCCATAACATGCCCTAAAACAGCAATAAGTATCCACTACTATTTCATAATTTCAAGACAACACACAGGTAGGTTTTCTATCTCTTTCCTTTGGGACTCATCACACAATCTCTTTACCATTGCACCTACCTGGGTAAAAATCTTTGGACTTAGATAGCTTGATGGTGGCTCCAGTTTCTTTCTGCAACTGAACAATTGTCTGTCCTCCCTTCCCAATTATAGATCCAGCAGCATAACTAGGTATGAGAACCTTTAGAAAATACTGGCCGTCTTCTGAAAAATGCAAAGAAATATTCTTGGTTAACATCATATTTTTAAACTTTGTATCCCCACTCCACCCTCAAGAGAGAAAAACAGCAACTAAAGCTCTGGAACATATAGCTGCAGGAAACAGGTAATTACATTTTTTTAAAGAATGAAAATAAACCAATTACGCTGAAAAATAAGTATGTATCTTATTTGCAAGATTTATAATTCCAAACTTGGAATCAAAATCTAAACATGTTCTAATATTTTAGAGCTCTGTAGAAACAGATGACTAAATTCCAGTTGTTATTCCAAACATGGAAGTCTTCCAATTCTATTTGTGGTTACTATGGCAAAATGAAAGGAACTGACCCTTTAACAAAACTTCAGAGATTTATAAGATGACAAACCTTCGCCTAACATATTGAAAAGAGGGGAAAAAAAAACCAAAACCCTGGACTGTAAATAGTGATGAGCTAAATTTGTTTGTCATTAGCAAACACATAAGCACTACAATTAGCCATTGCCTATGTCCTACTTAAAGTAAGCAAAACAACCATTCTCCTACCAAATAATCAACCCAAACTGTAGGGTGTATTCCAAGCCTCCAGTAACTGGCAGGAAGCAACTCAATGTAGTAGAATGACAAATCTAACTAATCCTAACGTATTTCTTTAGCACTTCTTAGTCTACTATGATCTTGTTTAAGCTCATTAATTAAAGGACCTTAAGAAGAATTTTGCCAATACTAAAAAGCTTAGGAGTCATTTATATTAAATACACTTAAAAGTGATCAAATAGTTCCTTTTCCAAAAGAACCATAAAAGGGAGAGCAGGGTCGATGAACCAAGGAAACGAAAAATGAAATGTTTTAGAAAATAAAACCAACTCCATAACTTTAATTCCCATCACCCTGATCATTTCTCAAATAGGAAACATCCCAGTAAATCCAGCTTTTTAATGTGAATGAATATTCCAAATTTTGCGGTGTGCCACTCACAAGACCCCCAATCCGTTTCTAATGTATATGCTGGAGATAAATTCACCTCTGCTTCGATGCATTGGGTGCATTGTTAAGATGACTCCAGTGCAAATGAAGAAGCGATACCGGTCCCGTTATAACTCATCTTCCAAGGAAGCGCAGGATGTTAACTAACAAGTCACCGAACCAGACACCCCCCTCGTATGCACACCCTTGAAGACAAATCAATGAGAAATTTGTACTGACAATCTAAGTGCAGTAAGGGCATGCACTCATCAAGATTTTGCATACTACTTGTGGCCCAAAGCAAGGGGATGGATGGACAGAGGAAAAACTCTCCGGTGCCCCAAGCATTTGCAATCTGCTACCCAAGTGCCATTTATTTATTTATTTTATCAGACTGTTAAATGCAGCGCGCATCTCTGGGCGGCCATCACCTCACTCGGGGGTCATCCTCCTCCTCCTCCTCCTCCTCCTCCTTTCTCCTCCTCCTCCTCTTGGACAGACCCTCTTGCCCAGATCTAGGGTATTTCAATGGTCAGCCTCGGGACCGATTAAACGGAAAGACGGGGTCTCTTCCGAAAACCTGGTCGCCATTTTGATGAATGATAAACACAGAAATGGAAATGTGCCGGGACGGGGGGCGCGGGGCAGGTGCAGGGGAGGGGGCGCGCGGCGGCTCGGGCTAGGTGTCCGGGCCGCGGAGGGAGGGCGCGAGGGAGGGAGGCAGGGCGGGCGGCGGGGGATGGGGCCGCGGGAGGTGGAAGCGATACCCACCGCCCGTATTGGTCCTCTTGGTGCTGCCGGCTTCAGGGGGGGCTTCCAGCGGCCTCTTCCGCGAGTCCGGCGGGTCCAGGTCTAGGGGAACCCCCGTGTGGGTCCCGTTCTGCTGGATGGGAGCTGCCGCCATCATGTTTGCAGTTCTGCCGCCGCTACGGGAGAAGCGTCTCCCTTTTGTTTTGGCTTTTTCTTTTCTTTTTTTTTTTCTTTTTCTTTTTTTCTTTTTTTTTTCTTTCTTTTTTGGCGTTTGGGGTTTCTTAAAGTATTATTTTTTTTCTTTTAATCGGATCAATAGAAAAAATAAAAGCGGTGTGGCGGTCTGTTCTCACTGGGGAGGGGGCAGGGCCGGGAGCAGCTGCAGTGCAGTGTCAGGAAGGAGACAGGGGAATGGAGGGGGTGTGAGAGACGGAGGGTGAAAGAAGGAGAAGAAAGAGCGCGGGGGAGCCGGAGCGGGAGAGGGGCGCGTGAATGAGGGGAGGAGGGGAGCGAGCGGGAGAGCGCGGGGCTGGCGGGGCGCGGGGCGCCGCCGAGGAGGCGGAGGGAGCGCGAGGGAAGCGGTGAATGAGCGGGAGGCGCGGGCGGCGGGCGCCGAGGGCCGCGAGGAGCCGGGCAGGACCGCGGCGGTCCCCGCGCTAGCGCTGCGCTCGCTCCCGCAGCTGGAGCTGCCGCCGCCGCCGCTGTCGGAGCGTCTCTGCCGTCGCCTGGGCTGCTCGGCGCTGCTGCGGTTGCCGCCCGGTCTCGCTCATTATTTCTCCCGCTTGTGAGGGGGGTGGGGGAGCGGGCGGGCGGGAGGGAGGGGGCGGCGGCGCGGGGCGGGCGGCGGGCGAGGGCTGGAGTTCGTAGACTCCCACACACTTCGCGCTCGGGTCCCTGCCTCTCAGCAGCGCCGCCGCCTCCCCGCGCCGGAGACTCAGCCCGCGGGCGGCGGGGAGTGGGGGCGGGGGGAGCGCAGGGTGAGTGCGCGTGCGTGTGCGCGCGGGGGGCCCGCGGGAGCGCGCGGCGGGGGCGAGGACCCGGGCCGGGACGCTCCGGTGGGAAAGCGGGGGTGAAAGGTCCCCGGTCCCGGCAACGCGGCTCGGGCGAACGTAAGCGACTGGAGCGAAGGGGGCCGCGAAACGCGCCGGGCGGGAAGGCGGGAAGCCGAGGTTACTGACAGCCGAGCCAGCCAATAAAACGGAAATGTGGGAAAGCTTCTCGGGCCGCTTCCCAATCAGGACACTTGCGGGCTGCGAGGCGCGGACGGGAGCGACGGGGACCTGGTCCAGCTGGGACCCGGGCGGCGACAGTTTTGGCTGCGCGGAGAAGGGCATCCGAGTGACCGGGGACAGCGGGCGGCCCCGCGGGGGCGGGGGGCCACAAATACACACTTCCGCGACTTCTCCCTCGCGGCGGTAGTTTTTATTTTGAAGAGTTAAGCGGAGTGGGAGGCACTTATTAGCATCTCGCTCCCTGGCGGTTTCCTACCCGTTATATTTCACAAACGAGGATTTCTTCATCGCACTGTGTGACACTGTCAAGAGACTTTTCGTATCACTCGCCGCCTTAAATCCTTCCGGGAACAAGCCAGTGTATATAAATAAAAATGTGGGTCTCTGTCTACTTCACAAGGTGCCGGGACAGGCAACAGCTGAGCAGCCCAGTGTGTCCCCAAAACTGAGCCCTGAACGAAATACGAATGTAGGAATGCAATTCGGAGCACTGAGCACTGCTTTTGAATGTACAGATCTTGTCTGTATCAAGAACCCGAACCTTAAGACATTAGAGTGGGGGAAATCTGACATAGCTGGAACAGACTCTGAAAGGACCATAGAAATGATGTAAATGAAGTTCTTCATTTTATAGATGAGTATATTGACTTGGTGAAGTATTTTGTTCAAGGTCATTCATCAGGTTAGTAATTTTAATTAACTCCGTGTGCTAGGATGTGAGGTAATAGAAAAGCCTGGACTTTGAAGTCTCAAATCTCAGTTTCAGGTCCTTTGCAAGCTGTTCCAATAGTGTATCTTGAACAAATTTCTCAAAACGTTTATTAAATGCTTATCATGTGGCAACCAATCCATTTTAGATTCTATCACCGTTTCATGCAGTATATCAGGTAGTATTACAGTCCCTATTTTATGAGGCAGTTTAAGTTTACAGATACTAGTAATTTATCCAAAGTCACACAGTTATAAACGTTGTAGTTATAATTCAGACTCTGGTCCTTCAGACTCCGAAGTCTGTCGTCTTAAATATCGCAGTGCACTAAAGCTCCAGGTTCTTCCCCAGGGAAAACAGACTATAACCCCAACTCACACAATTTTGGAGTCAAATGAGATAATATATGTGGCAATATATCTCACACCTTACGAAGGTATAAACTTTTACTAGATGTTTAGAATGACCCTGTGCTTTCCCTTAACTTTTCACTGTAATACTCAATTTGAAGATAGTTAAACTAGCATAAAGGACTTTATTTACTACAAGAATGCGGCATTCTAATATATATGCATATCTGAGACAATTACCAAAAATTAGAAGCAAAATTAATTCCTACAGATTATAAAGAGAATGGAAAAGAATACTAACTTTTCATGGTATCTTTTATTAGAAGCATCAAGGAGGCATTGCTTTTTAAGGAAATTAGATGACAATCTACTGAACAAGGCAGAGTATAATGTTTAGACTGAAATTCTTGTGAAGTATGAAAAACATGTTAGCCTCCATTTTGAAAAAAACAGTGCTAACAGATGAGAGCAATTGTTAGTGCACATTGGTAAATGTCTATGAACCAAAATCCAGAATTTTGATGATACATAATGTAATAAGGAACCATCATATAGTTTTCATAATCAAAAGAAAAATTGATATACAGAATTGGGGTAAAAATGGTACTGAGAGGAGGAGGGGGAAGGTTTCAAATAAGTATATGCTAGTCAAGATAATAAAAGGCTGATGCCAGAAATTGTTCAGAGTGTTCTGTGAAGTGAAAAGAAAATACATGACATTTTTTTAAATGACAAATTAGAAAAGGGCCAGTATTTGGCACTAGATTGTTTGAAAATGATAAAAGACAACAAGCAAAAATAACTGAAGGACAAAGATAACATGATGTTATATTCTGCTAAAGTTTGTTTAAAGGATTCAATAGAATTTAATTTTCATTTAAGTAAAGATAAGGTTCAAAACTGGGAGACCAGACTTTCATAAATCCCTGCAAATCTTTATAAAATACATTAGAAAATCTTTGCCATTTTCATATTTCAATCTAAGTTAAACTGTCTTACAGACACTTGCTTATTGAGATAGAGTCATACCACTGTATGACTTGTGGTATTTAATTGAATGTTATTTCTTTCTTCTACTTAGTATTTAAATACTGCCTACTGCTTCATGGTACATCAGGAATTTTAGAGACCTGTTCGAGATCTGAAGATTGGCCAGCTATGAACTGATTTCATCAATGAAGTTTATAAGAAAGTACATTTTAATGAATCTTCCCTTAATATATCTTGATTCTCTTTAATCATAATTTTGCAGTAATGTACCTATACAATTCTGGTTAAAGACATAAACATTTTCTTGTTATGTGCATTTTGTGCCAGTTAATAAAAATAAATAAAAAAAGTTATCACTTTATTAATACTCAGTGTGATCTACCATTTATGGTATAAGATGAGTAAACTTTACAAAAATATAATAAAAATATTTGATCTTCTAATTTTCTAAAGGAAGGCTTTATTTTTAATTAACTATGCTATTGAGACCTGCTAACAATATTTTGTAATATCTTTAGGAACATAAGCAACTATGATAAAAGAGTAATATAAAGAAAAAATTCCCATCTTTCTTGGCTATCACTGAGGATTCTTTTTCTTTCTGCTTCATGCTGATTAACATGAACATGACATAATATATTTTCAGTAGCAATGATGACCTTTCAAGAGCAAGTACAAGTAGCTCCTATCCTCAGATACTCCCAAATTCACTTGTTTTCATGTTCCTACCTTTCTTATGACCAGTCGTGTTACTAATACATGTTAATATTGGCTTTTTATGAATGTCTCTTTGGCCAGTGCTTTGGGAAATTGTTCTGCAGTTGTTTAGACCCTGAGTTAAGAATTCAAGAGCGAGGGGCTGGGGATTTAGCTCAGCGGCATAAGCGCCTGCCTTGGAAGCAGGCAGTCGTGAGTTCGATCCCTGGTACCGATAAAAACGAAAAAGACCAAAAAAAAAGAATTCAAGAGCGAGTAGTCTGTGTTGTAAGTTATTTCAAAAAAACACAGTAGGGGCATGGGACAAGAGATAGGGAAGAGAAGGAAGGAAATAAAGGGCAAATTACCAAGCAGGTTAAAACTGAGGAAATAGAGCTTAATCTCATGGGCATTTCCCGGGAACCAGGTTAAGATGCAGGCCTCGGAACTATTCTGTGAAGTGTGAAAAAGTTGGGATGTATATGCACCAGTACCCTTCAGCCACTGAATGAGATCTGTTCCTGAGAGCACTAATTCAGTGGATGCTGGCCAATCTTGCAGCTGCCATTGCTGCAACTTTCTGTAGTTCCTGGAGCCTGCTTTCCCCTGAAAGGCTGAAAGGGCTGAAGAATTCACACCTTTCCTAGTGGAAGCTCTCCTACATTGATGAAAAATCAGGTCAATGTGCACTAAAATGGTGGGGCAAGGGAAGATGAATAGGGCATTACCAATTTGTTACCAGTATCAACGTAAATTTGGGAAAAGGAAAGTGAGATGCCTGTCAATGTATTGCTGGGAATCAAATAGTGGTGAATAGAAAGCATTTAGGAAATTTAAAATCCAGAAAGAATTTTATAATTTCAAAACTCCAAAGATTGTAAAAAAAAAAATTGGGGCTGGGGATTTAGCTTAGCGGCATAAGCACCTGCCTTGCAAGCAGGCGGTCGTGAGTTCAATCCCCGGTACCGATAAAAATGAAAAAGACAAAAAAAAAAAAAAAAAAAAAAAAAAAAAAAAAATTGATTACAAAAGGCTTGACTAGTTGTTTCTTCTATCCATATTTTAAATTTTTTGATACACAATACTTGACCCCATGCATGTATTCTAAATTTTCCCTATCACTGCCACACAAATGACTTGTTTAAACTGGAATGTTTGCATATTGGCACATACCTATAATCCTATCACTCTGGGAGGCTGAGGCAGGAAGATT